CTGGAGCTCAGGCATAAGTCACTGCCGTGTGTTTTCATGGATAAAGCCAAATTCAGGTTCTAAAATGAAATAGAAATAAATGAAGTGTAAAGTTGATGATAGCAGAAAGATTAGCATTATCTTGCAATGTGTGGACATCGCAGATTCATATGCAACTATGACGACTCATTATATCACAGGGAACTGGCGACTGCTGTCTCACAACTGAACTAAATCTGCAGTTCGAAAAAAGTAATACATTACAGTTTATCTTATTAGAATACTCAGCGTGTCACAAAATGTTACAAATTGTCTTAAACATCGTATATACTTGTATGTTTGTACATGTTTCAGTTCATCACTGCAGCTATGACCCCAACTTTCCCTGTAAAAAGAAAAAAATTAAACATTAAACTGTACAGGTTTAGAAAAAAATCATCATTATATATGATCTCTCATAGCCTATGTATTATATCCCTATATTTAAATTAAAATTACATGAATTCTGCTCAAGGTTACAGTTTTACTATATTCCTTTTCAGCTTAACTGTATGGTTTTAGAAAAAAATAAAAGCAAGGTGCACTCAAATCACATAATGTGTGACTATTACCATGTCTGAACTGCAGTTACATTAGTTTTCACAATAACAAACACAACACAACTGCAGCGAGTATCGATTCAGGTTGACCCAGACTCCGTTTATGGTTATCATCATATTACAGTACACTTTTCTGTTGTCACTTTATTATACAAAACAATACACCAAACAAAGTCTTCTCAAATAAAGTCATTTCAATTCAATTTATATAGGAATTTAAATGATATAAATAGTCGCCTCACAGCGCTTTATATTGTGAGGTAAAGACCCTACAACAGGGGTCTCAAACTCCAGCCCTTGGGGACCGGGGTCCTGAAACTTTTCCATTTGTCCCTATTGCAACTTACCTGAATGCAATTAGTAGGTCATTCGTAAGACTATAGAACTTGACTCTAAGCTGATGTGGCAATTCAGCCATTTGATGTGTGTGATAGTGTTACAGGAGCTCATGAGTGAATGAGTGAATGAACATGGTGCAATAAAAATATTTTTAGTACATTTTCCCAAACACTTACATTTACTTAAGAGGTTAGGGGTTGCCACTTCAGCATGCAGTCAAGTTCTATACTCTTGCTAATGGCCTTATAATTTTATTCAGGTCTGCTGCAACAGGTAGGGACACATGGCAAAGTTTTAGGACACCGGCCCTCAAGGACTGGAGTTTGAGACCCCTGCCCTACAATAATACAGAGGAAAAACCCCAAAAATCAGATGAAAAACGTAATGTGGAAATTACTTCTCCATATTCACAATGCTTTTAATTTTAACTGCAAACAGAAAGAGCTGGATGAACATTTTACAACTAATAAGGTTCTTAAGGATTTTATGTATTTACAGGGCTCAACCTGAAAAGGAATCCAGTGAAACTGTTGCATCAATTCAAACATGATTACTGCAACTACAGTTCATAGATGGTAACATTATAAACAAGGCAACATAATTTAAGTAGATTTTGCCTCATTTTTTTCTTAAATAATACAGTTACGAGATACACTACTACAAGCCTTAAATAGTTTAATATGTATTATGAATGTATTAATGTATTATAACGTATAATGTATAAAAACCTATACGGGACAGCGGAGTACAACAGTAGTTCTGCAAATAAAGTAAAATAAAGACAGTTTCAAAGTTGCAGAATGGACGCGTGTTCCTTTGTGCTAGTCACTCGGCACCCGTACCACAATGTCGGGAATAGAGGAGCAGCACAACTGAAGGTGCGGCTTGCTTGACCGCGACTTCTCGAATAAGGGTTCCGGGCAAAATTACCGCTTTAAAAAAAGAGAAGCGCTTGTTTTACTTCTATAAACACGATTCGATGCTGCTCCTTGATTTTAGTCTGTTAGCCTAAAACAACAAATCTGACTAGGATCCTGCATGAGTCGGATTCTTGTGTTAGTTCATTGAGACCGCTACACTTTCACGTACCTATTATTTGTAACTTTATCTCGAGTTTCCGGTTAGTCTCTACCAGTCTGTGCTCACGGTTGATGTCGTCCTCATGCTGGGAGATCGTTTCTGAAGATCTGAGAAGATTTCGTCTTCAGCAGCAGCTAATCTCTCCTCGACAAACTCTTACCGATGCCGAAGACTGAATTGTTGAGCAGTAAAGAGGCAAGTCATTTCCGTTCTCCTTCTTTTTCTTCTTCTATTGTACTTCCGGTAGAATACACGCATCAACGTCGCATTGCTGCTCTCTTCAGGTCAGTTTGAAGCTAGTCCTAAAC